GGACAGAGCTGAAATGGAAAACAAACAGAAAAGCCAACACACCACAAGCATACTCACAGCACAATCTCACACATCAATGACGACCTGCGCCTCCAGATAGAGACTTCCTCTTGACATCTTGCAACACAATCGCCATTTGCTAGAATGACTCTTGCAGAATGCAAAGTGACCATAGCACCACCTCACGATACTCTACGCACATCCTCGTATCTACTCACTACCAATTACCACTGAAATCGCTTGTCACTCATTCTGCCTCAGTTCTAGTAGCGGTGACGCATGCGAGCCTCAGTCGTTTACACTCATTCTCCCCGGCGTGTCGGACCGCACCTAACAATTATCTCCGTGTGCGTTTCATTCTCAGCAATAGCCTAGCCTCCCCGGCGTATACGACCCATCTGCTGTCTCTAACATCAATCAATTCATTCATGGATGTAGAAGACTCGAAACAACTTCAGAAGTAATCACGACGTAAATTTTAACAAAATTATGCAATAAAAACAAGGCACGAAAACAACGAGTAAACACAACTGATCAAAAATCACAAATTGCGAAGACAAACCACACGTATACACAAACAGTACAAATAACCTCGCGGATCATGTCTTGGTGGAATTATTTTGAAGAATTGGAGGACTCACACCAGTACGCCTACAACCCATCTCAAGTTGACGATTGTAAGTTGTGGAATGTCCAAACACAAACAAGATTAACCAACAATTACATCAATTGGAACTCACACAACTATTTAACACAAACATATGTACAATCAACACATCAAATGTTGTGGATTCTGACACGACAAACTACCCTTGAAGAACCGTAGGACTTACAGCAGTACGCCTACATTCCTTCTCAGGTTGATGATTCAAGTGGAAGTCGTCCGGACACAAACAAAATTATCAACAGCTAGATGACAGATGATATCAATTCAGTATATACAATATGAACATATGTACAAGATCATACACCAAGCACATCGGACTGCTCATTGATGCGCTACCCTTTGAAGAACTGTAGGACTTACACCAGTACGCCTACAACCCTTCTCAGGTTGACGCCCTAGGTTGGAAAATCGTCGCAGAGTTCATTTGCTAACTTCCTTCTATCAGCTATATCCTCAAATCTGAACGGCAACACGCCCATGTCATTGTATCGTAGAATATAGATGACCAACAAACACACGGCATATCTCATCAACCAAGTGTAGAAACAGAGTAATTTACACCAAAGATAATAGCATTCAAATAGTAACTTGAAACTAGAAATGCCTTTATTCGTACAAGTCAATTTAACAATTACTCTCTCCTTTACACTTGGCTTATTCTCACTAAACTGAGCAATATCTTTCGTCTTTTCAAACGAACTGATACTATCATAGTCATTGCAGAAGATACTTGAGTTGATGGGCATCTGTTTCATTGTGGATGAAAACACCAACGATGACTGAGTGACACAAGGTGATGAACATAGCGGTGGATCAGAAGCTGCTGTGGTTCGGCTGTCAGATAATTGTCTACCTGCAAGACCACTACCACTGCTGTCCTTTACTATTAGTTCGGGTTTAGCACTATCATCTGATGATAGGTGAGCTACACGCTGATCAATTACACTGACTGTCTCACAAGTATGCACACCTTTTGGAACTGCATCTGCGTTCAATTCTACTTCACGTTGTAGTTGTACAGAACCTTTATTTAACTTAGCAGTAGTAGGCATATCCCTCATCTCATAATGATCAACCAAAGACAACTGTGAAGTATCATGATCATCACCACAAATATACAATTTACCGTCAACTTCATCATTTTCAAACTCTTTAATAACAGAAGTAAACAATTTTGGTTCCTCCTCGCAAATCATAAAAGGTTTTATAACTTCACTCTGACTAGTAATACCTTGTAAACTTGTAGGGTCAGAACTCCACTCTGAAGCAGTAACTCTATTCTGTGACACTCTATTCAACAACGGCTTACCAGTTGCAACTACAGACTTCTTTACCACAACGTTATCGTCACACAATTCGGAGTCAGACCTGGAGTTTACATTTAGCTTATCACTGAACTTGCTCACTGGTTCACAGTTCACTTCTTTATGCACCTCTTGCAAACGTGTGAAACACAACCGTGTTTCTCTTGCAGCTTGCAACTTATCTGTTGAGGATGTACTACGAAACCTGTTGCACTCACTAAGTTTATATGCATTACTAGACATCATGGAGTCTTCTCGATATCCACCTCTCTGAGGCTTATTCGTCATCAATGAGTGCGTTTTACCCTCAGACTGCTCTATTCTAGGGGTGAGATCTAACAGACTGGAAAACTTGCTCATAGATTCATCGACACTAGTATTTACCAGTTTCAGGATATCATCAAACTTTGGCTCGATACCCTCATCCTCCATACGGGAGCTCATCTTCACCCACTTCCTTTGCAGTCGAATAGGTAGGCGTCTTGCTATAACTTCTAGTATAAAACTCGAGTCGATGTCACTCATGCGATTCATCGAAATCATTGCATTCTTGTAAATTAGCAAATTATCTAAAAACTCAGTGAGTGCCTGGGAGTCATCCTGTAATTGACCACCATTACCCTTAACAGCTTCGAATAATTTCCCTGCAATCATCGAAGGTCTTCCAAACCTTTGACGTAATATGCTCAGAGCCTCATCGTAGCCCTCTTTTGGCTTCAAAAACGTACGGAACTGTATAGCTCTTGAAGCATCTCCAGTGCAATATCTCATCAAATACATTAACTTCAATTCATCATTTAATAAAAAACCACTCAACATGATCTCAAACTCCTTTACAAATTGTAAATAATCAGCCGGGTTTCCATCAAAACACCGTGGTTCAAATCTAGGGAGATTGATGTTCCTATTATCCCTGAACGGCGAAACAATAACATCAACCATGTCATGCTTAACATCAGACACATCGTTACAAGTAACAGACAAGTCACCATGACTTACTTTCCTGTTTGCATCCAAGACACTCTGTCCCTTCTTTGACCCAGGCATTGTTGAACTTGACCGAATTCCAAAAAAGTTCCAGATATTGCTTGTTCAAAGAGGACTTGACCGGCACCAGGAAAAATGAACGACGACTATCCAAACTTTCACCAACTGTTTGAATCCGCCAGATCTGTTTCCATCGTCAGAAACTGTCAGTCACGTCTCATAAACCGTTAATGCCCAGCTCTCGCTACGCTCGGGCCCACGCTGTTTCTTTGAGTTTTCAGAAACGCTTAGTTATAACGGACGCAAAAACCAAAACACCGATCTGCCGCTTGTTATTTCTTTATTGTTACACCAACATATAAAAGGAATAAGCGAACTAAGGTCTGAAAACAAATATTACAATAATAAATCATTGTATTACTTCTGACGATGTTTCACTCTTCTTTCTGAACAGCGACCGATGAGACGATGACTGTCGTATTGATGCCTCCGCGAAAATTGGGGAAGTTGATTTTGAGCAAACAACCAAGAATTGATCGATCAATCTTCAACTCCATTGACATATGTATATGTACATGTATTTTGAAACATACCACTCAAGATTTCAAAACATGGACTTATTGCATATGAGTCCATTTATGGACTTGGCGCCACTACAACTAGAGAAGGGGGAATATAGCTCTCACGTATGCTCAAAGGTGTATTTATTAGCAATGACAGGATTAGGCCATAGCGATACGCAATCACACCACGAAGCCGCCACTGAGTTCTTGTCTCCTGAGAATTTTGCTGACCAGATTGTGTTTCAGTCCACATGGATAAACAAATTGACCGTTGACAGTGAAAGGTCTGAGACTCAACTGACTTCAAGAACTTCTTTGTTCTCCTACCGTATGGACCCATCTTTATTTATTCAGGACCACTCCTTGGCGTTGAGGCAAACGTCCCTTGTTTTCGCAGGTAGCCGCACAATCCGTTATTGCTTCGGTGGACGTCCAGTAGAGTAGTTGTACGCGACAGGATCTTGTGTGGACCACAGGACGTCATGTGATGAAACAGTTGAAATGGCGCGATCGGAGTTAGATGTCTCATCAGTCATTTACTCACCTGGCCGAAGAGTGAGATACTGACAGTAATAATAGGGATATATCGTTCATGGCAAATATACAGTTAGAGACAAACAGTTAACGAGAATCGAGAAACGAATGTATGGGTACGCCACGCAAAGATTGGTGTTGTAATGGTAGACTAGAAGCGAGGTGGCTAATGAGAATAAAAATGAACTTCACACTATTCTTAAAAGTCCCACAATGCAAAGTCTCTACAAATATTAAGACGGCAAAATTTGAACAAGATGAACCCTACAACCTCAGGAAGCATAACTGTCTAGTTGACACATTGGAAGCCTTAGAACCTTTGACGACCTGTGCCTAAATTTCGAAGGGAATGGCATAATGTATTCTATGTTTTCAAACCTCGTTACAGTTTATATAAGGTCTAAACCATAACATTACCTGAAACATAGACTGTAGAATTCTTGATGTAGCTCACACGGAATATAAGGTGTTCCATGATGGCCGACCAAGTATCTAAGTGCAAATAATGACCTAATTCGAAGAACACCTTGTCAAAAACCGTAGGCAGTGCTTTGCAGCTACCCTTTTATTATAAAGTATGTATCTCGAGTTAGGCATATTAACTGACTCTCAATATGCTACTAGAAACAACGCCCTCCAAGATATTTACACAGAATTTACTATGTGTTAGTAGTCTGTTACATCCTTCACAAAGCGAAGTCTGTATTGTGAGTACATTCTCCGTCATACCTGCGATCTGAGTGTCCGAATTCATACACTCACAACACATTTTTGGACTCACTGAGCTGAAACGTAACCTAACATGTAATTAAGCAGAAAATTCACTAAAGGCTAGTCAAATAAAGCCAAGAAATCCGAAATCTCAAGGTGTATACAAGAGGTCGAAAAGTATTGGATATTGGGTTTTTAATTTTGTTTAGTCAAGCCATCGCACGTCGGACAACGGACAGTAGTTGAGGAGTGCGCTTACTATTGTAGTAGTTCGTGTCAGAATGTCGGAAAGGTGAGGTTGTCCATTAGTCTACAGGCTTCCAGGTGTCTCTTGTGAGTGTGTTAGTCGACTTAGGGATTTTGACAGAATGATGTTTGCTTGGAGTTGTCAGCCAATTGTTGTCCAACGGACAATTATGTCGTGCAGTTGCGACAGTCGCAGTAATTGGAGATCCAGGTCATATTCAATGCTGATTGTAAATAAAATTGCATACTACAATCTATATGACGGTCATTTAAGCACTACTGAAATACTCGGTTGTGTTTTGTAGAGGGTTTTAAGGACATCCACGTAGACGTGGGGCACCAGGCCTGGTGGTTGGGGAGACCGTGGTGAGTCAGGCTGGTTCTGTGGAAATGGGTGGATGTGGATTGATTTGTATGATTCTCGCCATTAACATTACCCACATAACTGCCATCCTCTACGTGCAAAGCTGAGAAGTATTTTAGCGCATACCTCACCAGTATCTTTCTATTGTGGTTTCAGGTGCAGCTCGGAAGCAGTGTAACTAAGATACCCCAGAGACTGAACGGGTTTACCACAGAGTGGTGACTCGGAAAGTCATCTGAACTTTGGTGCATCAAGCTTTTATGACGGAATTGAGTTGTCTAACCGCACTGAGTAGTCGGGTCCACTTGTGGTGTGTTTCGGTGATGGTCGTGCACGTTAACTACCTGTTGACTGGAGTTCCTGAGAATCTGTGTGGAACGAGGACTGACGAGGCGTGGCTAACATGGAGGATGAGGAGTGAGCATGTTGTCTGTAATACTATGGTAGTATTGGCTCCTACTATCCCAAGAACCATGGTTAGACATGCATACTCCGTGGTCTAGACCACCAGTTATTACGTTGGAGATATGTACTTCGCTTCAACTTTACTAGTCCGAAATCCCGTGTTTTCAAACCTGAGTCGTCGATGGTTGCAGTGGGATAATGATTGTATTACCTCTACCAGACAAAACACAGCAAGTAAATATGTACGCCATTGATTGATTCATTTAACTTGTTTGTTCGACTCTCTTAATCCCCATCCCCACCCAATGACTATCGTTGGTGAATTGTAGATCAGATTTGTCAGCTGCGATTCCACACATAAGATGAGAGTAGGGGAAGCTATGTGACACCTAGTTATCGTCAATTCGACCTCTGATTTGACATTGTGAGGTGTAGAAGTCATGAATTTTGTCCTGTTCATTTAGCTACGGTGGTTTGCAGTTGTTTCATGAATGATGAGTTGGCGAGCAGTAGTATTGTGTCTGTTGTGTTCGGATACGTATTATGTAGTCTGCTGTCATTTTCCAGATTGATTTTTCAGTCAGCCTCCACAAATGACAGAGTAGCAGTGTTCGTATTCGTGGAGTGCATAACGACTAATATGTTGTTTTTCACCTTTCAGGTCACGCGTTAACAATTCAGGACCGTTGAAGAAGCCTGCTGAAAGAGGTTATCCAGCGTAAGTTTATGAATGCTCACAATAACTCGTAATAGTTCGTCTGGTTCTGTGTGGAGTTCCAATACACCTAGTGAACGGGGTGATATTCCGTCGTCTTCGGAAGGCGAAATTGCCTCGGAAGCTGCTCGCCAGAAAAAGAGCCATCCAGTCCAAAAAGCTGTGTGAGTACTATTCCTGTTGTTCCTTCAGATAACACGACATGTTTTGTCTTGATGCCTAACTAGCTTTCGTTTCTTTGTTTCAGGTATGATATATCTACGGGTATTTCGAAGTAAGTTGACGTCAAATAAACTCTAACAGTATTTGTCTTCATTGCTTCCTTCGGTAACGCTCCCGAATTGACTATTATTTTCAGACTAAACATACAGAAGACACTCAGAATACCGAATAGACCAGACCAAGGAGGTACAATCGGCAAGAAAGTCAAAGTCACTTCAAACTGTTGGGATTTGACATTTCATCACAGAACGGTATATTTGTATTTTGTGGAGGCCAACTCAGTTCATCGATTGGAAGCTAAGGAGGGCAGTAAAACTGAGATAAGAATGCCACCTAAAGAGTTGAGATCTTTAATTCAGCAGGTAGCTGACTCGTAAGTACCATTGTGTTATTGATCAAATGAATTGTTCACATATGTAACGGAACTTTCTGTTCCTTAATTATTAAGCTGAATTGTTTCTCTGACTTTTGGTCAAGTATTGCTTGCTTGTCAACCAAAGATTCGTACACGTGTGGGATAACTTGTTCCATGTCCCACACCATTCATTATGTGACTTTGGTTACTGTCAGCGTTGTTTAGAAAGAATTGGTGAAGTTGTTGGTTATGGTTTCTATTGAGAGCACTGGTATCTATTCATAAACCTCACGCTAAACAATTATGCTTATTTCACTCGCTTCTGCAGTTTACCAGATACGATCATATACGATGGCGGTCACGCCATATACTCTGAAGATCCGTTACCTGGTGTCACAACGGACCCCGTAGAAAGAGAGATTGAGATCAAGGAGCCGTTTGGTCGGGACCGCCTTCTTCTGAAGTACCGGATTATGGAAGTGCAGAAGGTATCTACTTCCGATATCAGCCATTTCATAACGAATCCGAAAGCGACCTCTATGAATATGCCCCAAGTAAGGCTGGATATGTTTCATATTTGTTTCTAGGAATGTATCAGATTGTTAGACTGCATCTTGAAGACGGTGTCAAAGCAGTCGTTTGTATCCCTTGGACGCTCAGCCCTATTTCAGCAAACACCAATTAAAGTGGTTATGGATAAGCTTTTCACTATTCATAAGGGTTTCATCAGTAGCGTGCGACCCCAATGGAAAATTCGTGTCAACTTGGATATGGTAAGTAGTGATTCACCTTCTATTTTACATATAATCACAGACGTGCAAGGCCTACTTTGTATCCGGGAATCTAGCGGACGTCATGTACTCGAAGTATGGAGACGATATGGTTAGATGTAGCACTCAAATGGCATACGACTTGAGAAAGATACGAGTTGAGACTGATAAATTCTACAAGAGCGATGATGGTATGCATGTTTTCTGTTATACCTCATACATTTTAGGACGTGCATATTCCCGGCGCTTCACCGTGCACGGGATATCATCACTACCAGCCGACCGTTTGATGATTGAGGAGTTGAACCAGTCCGTGGCTGAATATTTCAAGCGGCACCATCATATCACTCTGAAGTATCCAGAGCTGCCCTGTGTGAAGGTAAATTTGCATTTCAGTGATTATTTTTGTAGGTTGATCAAAAGCGTGAAGTGTATATGCCTATGGAACTGTTAAACATTTTGCCCTATCAAGCTCCTAATGCGAGTAAAGCCGATATTGCGAGTGAAGTTATCCGTTGTGCAGCAATTCGACCACAGGAGCGCTTCAGAGAGCTGGAGAATTTTGCCAATAATATGCTGAAGTAAGAGTTTCATTTATGAGTTGATACCACCGGTCAGTACTAAAGTGTAGTGTTGCTTATTGATCCAAGAGTTGAGGGTAAGCATGTTGAGATAGACGAGCTTTCGATGATTGATTTCTTCGGCATTCCATGAAGCTTGTAGCTCGACACTCACTGTTGTAGCGCATTAAAAGGATGGTGAGAAAGTAGAATAAGTAGTAGGTTACAATACCGACCCTGGATACTTGTGGAGATTTCCGAATTATCACACTTAGCTTCTATAGATTCATTGGTGATGTCAATGGAAGAGTCCTCTAGAATGGGCGGAGTAATGCTACTTTAAATTGTAGCCGATAAGCTATGGATCTGTAGGTCCTTCCAACTACAAGCCAACTCAGTTTTCCCATGATTGGAAGTTCTAGTCTTCATTGTATTCCTGTAAAGAGACAAGTTGAATGTGAGAACGGAAGCACACTATTAGACGAATGATTGGTTATAGTTGTATTTCATTGGTTGTTTACGCACAGCGATAGGCTTTTGATTTCTAGCAAAATTGCTACTAGCTATTGGAATTGAAATACAATTACACTTGATTGATGTATTCCACAATGCGTAAACTTCTCACATATATTATTAGATGAGCGCTTTGTGAACGTTTTGATGACAGAAATCTGCTGTCCGTTGTGTCAGCCGTAATTTTGAAATTTGAATAAACGTGAGGTAAACGCCACAGTCCTTCTCGGTAAGTGCCGGAGATCCTTGACGTAACGCCTCCCTACAGAGTTTATTGTTTGTTTTCCAAGCATGCAAGTAGATACGACATACACTGTTTTGTACATCGATTTGATAAGGACGCAGAATGTGGCGGTGTCTAGTTGGTTATAGTGGGCCACGAGTCATATAATTGCACAGACTTGCGACTAGTTGAGCACGACAAAATTAGAGTAGTGTTTGTTGGCTGTGTGGCAGTGAAGAGAACTCAATTGTAGGGTAAGTATGCTTGAATGCAAGTCTGGAACCAACTGTGTAGGAAGGTGTGTAAACGACGTTAGCCTGGAGCCAGATTTTATGATTTACTCAATGCATTGTTTTGTAATTATGAGGGTTTCTTTTGACATGACATTTGTTCCATTTCCTCCAAGGTCCCACCCACTGATCAAACAATTTGGTTTGGCGATTCAACCGAGGCCAGTGGAAGTTAACGCACGTGTTATCCAGCCGCCAACTGCTGGCTTTGGTCGTTCCGGTGTACAACAGCTGACGGCAGGTAGTTGGAGCACGCCTAGCTTTCTTCACCCTGCCGGCGAAGGAGTAGAAATAATGTGGGCTGTACTTAGCATTCCGCCTAATCAGGTATGTTTTCTACTCCAGTTCAACGTAAGATTAGTGCTGTAACAAAGTTGAGTTGTACAATCACTTGGGCACCAAATTGACATTGTAGACTTGATCATTTGTCGATTGTATCAACATCGAAGGGTAGCTCGCCTAGTTCCATGACAGCCCACCTACTTTATTGTTCACTGCATTACGTCGGTGGCAATATCATCATCTTTTATTTGTCAGTGTTTAATGCTCTGTATACAAAGAGGAGGTTTTGTCTGCCTTTTAATAAAGTGAAGGAAATGTTGTCAGATGGGTAGAGTAGCCTGAGAAGTGTGCACTTAATTCTGGTTTGTTGTCAAAAGGCATGTGTTATTGTTGAAAACAGTTAGTCGCTTTTATAAATTTAGATAGTGTTTTTAGAAGACGGAGATTATCTGAAAAGTGAGACGTATTTGCGCGATACATTTGGAAGAACTTCTCATGTTATTGTTATTGTCAAATGTAAACGCGAGAACTGACTGCTTCATCTCCTTGCCATGTTTTCTTCCTAGCGGTCTCATGGTCATGTACAGAAGGTGATATCGGAATTGCCTAGAGCGGCCAGTCGCTTTGGTGTTCGGTTTAGCCCTCGACCGATTGTGGCACAGTGTCCGAGAGGAGAACTAAACAGGAGGTTCGAGGAGTTTTCCAGACAAGGCTGTGGCTTCTTACTTCTCATCCTGTACGATGAACATTTCTACTCATCGATTAAACGTCTGAGTGACCTGCAAATGGGGATTCGGACTCAATGTGTACGAGCTCGTACTCTGGACAAACCGAACGTTTTCCGTAAGTAATGAGTGTTGTTCACATGTAGCCTTCAGTGTGTTTCTGTATTTCGATGAGTTTAATTCGGTTTTCTGCTTTCAGCGAACCTGTTACTCAAACTGAATGGGAAACTCGGCGGTGTGAACTGGCGAATTCCTGACCTTATTAAGGACAGTCAAGAGTTGGTTATGGTTTTTGGAGCCGATGTCACTCATCCTGCGCCTACACAAACTCATCAAATTCGAAAGTCAGTAGCTGCTGTTATTGGTAGTGTTTCACCCGATCTTATGAGGTACGGGGTAGTTATCCGTCAGCAGGCAACCACAGAAAAGGGGAATAAGGCAGCCAGAGAAATAATCGATGATATGCGTCTCAGTGTCAAGGAGCTACTCCAGGTTAGTTTTCATCAATGACCAACTCTACTGACTCACATTCCCCTTTTTCCCGTTGTACGCTTTCGTTCTTCCTTATTATTTGTGTTTTGTTGCAGCTTTACCTGCGTAACACGAACGGGCGTTTCCCGACGCGCATGATATTCTATCGCGATGGAGTTTCGGAGGGCCAGTTCGAAAATGTGTTGGTGGAAGAGCTGTGTGCAATTCAACGAGCTTGTGCAGATGTCCGTCCTGGCGAGGAGCCAGCTATCACTTATATTGTTGTGCAAAAGCGTCACCATATTCGATTTAGACCATCTGACCCCAGGTAAGGTATTTGCTCATGATGTTTCCTGTGTACGTACTACACTTTATTCGTGTCTTAACGGTCTGTTTGAATGCTTTGTCAGGGCAAGAAACGTGGAGCCAGGAACCGTGGTAGATACAGATATCACGCATCCCAGGGAATTTGATTTCTACCTCTGCTCTCAGGAAGGGATTCAGGTAAATTGTTTCTTTGTGCTAATGCCATTACTTTTAGGGTACATCGAAACCTGCTCACTATCACGTGTTGTATGATGATAGTAACTGGACATCGAATGCTCTTCAGATGTTCACCTACCACTTATGCTACGCGTACATGAGGTGTTCGCGTAGTGTCTCGTGTCCAGCGCCGACTTATTATTCTCATTTGGCTGCATTTCGGGCACGTGAGTGGTTATCGGACATAGAGAAACCAGAGATTCTGTTAGATGCTGGTCGTTTCAGAGTTCACAGCAGTCAAGTTGACGGCATGTTCTACTTATAAACAGATTTTGTTATTTTCATATAAATTGTATTTCCTTTTGAATCCATCTTCCCTTTTAATAGTAATAATAATAATCATAATAATAATAATAGTATAATGATAATGATTTACTTCATTCCAAAAGCAGTACTTGTGATACAGAATGGGATTTTCAGCATTAATCACGATATTGTATCTAATTCCCTCAAATTATAAATAAAATTAATCACACAGAAAATTTTCCCAAAACATGCAGCATATAAAATGGAAATAATAATAATGATAACAGCTAAGGTAATAGTAATAATAATACAAGTGAAAATTTCCGTTGGCCTCTTTCACACAGTATTGTCGATGAGGTATGGTAATCCTAGCATGTTTAAAAATGTTGAATACAGTGTTCTCTTTACATGATATGGTGAGGGGGAAAACAAAGATTACAGCAGTCATAGACAAAAGTTGGTGTTTGCAATTATTAAAGTAAAACAAAGAAGCAACAGAACCATAAATATAATAGGAATAATAGAAGTAAAACTTGAAGGTATATAAGGATGGATGGAGGAAGTTGTTTATTTACAGGATGAAAGAAGGTTGGTTAACTGTATTTTGTTGGGGCGATGATAAGGCATCGACGTGATACTGATAAGAAACTTTGAACACTTCACAATTCGATGGTTGATTCGGACATGTTTTCTGGGAAGAGGTGACTGATTGACTGCGTTTGAGGTGTTCTGACCTCTACGTCCCCGCTGTGTTGACGAAGAATCGGTTGATGAGGCAGTGTCAACACCTGGCATTGATAAGTCCATTAACGTGCGTGTTGTGGGTAGGCGTAAAGAAGGTGTAATTTCGAAGCTAGTTGTCCGTACTCTTGAGCAGGGGATTTCGGAGATGCATGTCTTCTGTGGCAGTGTGAATTCCAATAATTTATTTGGCCAAGATGGTGGTTAATCTGAATAGTTCGAGCATTTCTCGGTGGATATCACATCTTTTAAGGTCGATTGATCACTATTTGCGTAGTGAATGATTACCTTAAATGCTGTTTTATTTTACTTAGATAAGAACACAGTATTTGTGTTATGGGCACCGAGTGTTAATTGCGACATCGTGATTGATTACAATTCCCAGTTGTACGGGATGATGACGTGCTGAGGCACTCATTCGTATGATCTTAGACCCCACGTAAGAAATCGTAGGCTATCGACAGACGCCAAACGGGCACAACTATGCTTCATCGCAGACGTTGGAATGAGACAAACCAGTGTACTGTACTTTTTGAAGAGCCTGAAACTCCGAAGTGATGCAGTCATTGGCCTTCGATGGTTTTGCAAGTGGTATGCACTGCATTTTGGGACCTAACTTATGCGAAATGGACGGTCATGAGTTACTTCAGTGTTTATCAGTTTGCATTTCCCATTTGAGGTATTTCGCGTCAATTATCCAGGGGGTGTTTTCCACGTAATTTCTATATTTTGTAGAGTACTACGACACTTTTGAGGCTTCAGGTGTAGTTCAGTGTGACTAATAGCTGAGTCATCCCGATTTCCGAATAATTGGTGATTAAACCTTCCTTAGTATATCAGCGCTATGAGGGAGTTCCACAATGAGGTGATAACTATAGTTGGGGTTCTGAATTGAGTGCATTTTCTATGCCCGCACTATTGTTTTTTAACTAGTAGTAGTTGCATTTGAGAGGGTGTTCTGTTGCTGCTCGCTTTCCACTCAATCCAATCATCCTGCAACGCCAGCGTCGACCGACCAACCTTGATTACGCCACATAACACAACACACGAGTAATATTAGAATGTCAATCTCACCCGTTACAAGATATTGAGTCAAACATGTATGTCATCAATCACAATGGAGAGGATTTAAGAACTATCTGGTTGCAGTGACGAAAACTACCTTAACTACTCTGTGTAACACGAGTTTATATGATATGACAAGAAGTGTTTTGATATGATTGTCTGGATGAAGTTTTTGGCACAACTTATAGTCCATAGTATAGAGTTGACAATGAGCAGTAAATTGTGCTCTGGACGTTATCCGGTCAATTACACTATATCACATAAATTCACGTAATACTGCACCACATTACGTGCCCAATGTCTCCTACTGCGATCAGGAGTTCTCTATGAATCCTTAGGTAAAAGCAGCATGAAAGCACTGGAGATCTAGGCATGTGTGCACGATAGACATATAATCTAGTGGGACGGATTGGCTCATATAAACTGCGTGCCATACAATTGGATGAACTAGCGAAATACATTGATATTTGACTTGTTAGTGTTGACAAAGTGAAGAGTACTAGACAAACTACCGTAATAGGCGGGTCCAGTTAACAGACATGCATAGAAGTTCCTACAGAAATCACATCTTCAATTCTAGCCTTAGACACTCTTAAATTCAGCTTATTATCAACTGAATGTGATACGAGCAATGTGAGTAGTGGCTAGCAGTGGACGCGTGTTTCATCCCATTTGAGATTGGTCAACTGAGTGTACCTACATGTGCATCCTGGTGATGGTGTTCACAATGAGACTCGACTAGGTAACCATTGTTTGGCACAACCGAACGTTGTTCAGTAGACTATTGGTCGATGGCAGTCATTTTAGTGCAGTGAGCGTGAATTGTTATTTCTCAGAAATTCTGACTTGATGCTACTTGTTAGGTTATAATAAGCACGACTACAGTAATCACCATCGTAAGTCAAATGGTACATGAAGAAGCCGACTGGTCAGCTTGTCAACCATATCACTTAATTGTCTTGCCATTCACAACTGGCCATCGTCCTATAAAAATGAGCCGGTAGCTGTTACTCTGTCCCCGCTAATATCCACATCTATGATACAGTTTATTATATATTGTATTTTCTGATATTTGCTCTCGGTGTTTAACATCCTTGGTGCTTTTTGCATAACATGGGATTGTTGTGATTAAAGAATCCGGGAGTGAGTCGACTGTTAAAACATTCATGTGTATGATAACATATACAAATATAATACCAAATTGATGGTTTAGAATCACAGGGTGATAATGAGTACACACTAGTGTATGTCCATAATTAGTATTTAACATGTATTTCACTTAGTCTGGTGATAAATTCCATAACATCGGGAAACGGAGTGAAGAGTCATTTGTGTGTATGCGTATGTTGGTGTGGGGGTGTTAATGTTTGTTCCCACTGGAATGGTAGTTGTGAGATAATGTTGATCATAGTTGTAGGCTCTTGTAGTGTGAGAAGGTCAGTACACAATGATCATTATCATAAAGACAGCCACTAATTATCCAATGATAATCTTTCCTTTCTGAAATTCGTACCAACTGACTTCTATATGCTATTTATTAGCAGAGAAAATGAACTGACTTTGAAAGTAATTTTAATTCACGTTGAGCTCCTCTAGACATCTGTATGGAAGGCGATCTCGTTTTCTGAGGTGTCATCCTGTTCTACTTCATTCGCCAACGCTTCCTGAAAGTGTCTGTTTTCTTTCCTACCATTGTTGATTCGTCTGCCCAACGATCTGTAGGTTGTGCCCAGCTCCTTCTCCCGTTGTTCGTCACTGCACTGGTTTATCTTCTACTTCTGCATCCTTCTGTCCTCTATCAGCCGCATGGCTTCTGCAGAGAGCCTTTTCGTGTCTAATCTCTTCTCGCCTTAAGTGTCTATACAGGTTTCTCCGCACGTCGTTTTTAGAAGGTCCCAGTGTACTCCCAGGCAGATTACACCGGTGATTTTGGTTATTGTCTCCGACATTTTCCTGTTGTCTGCTGTGAAGGTGTCCTTTGTAGCCCGACCTTCAGTTTCTGAGCCTTCAACTTGAATTGTGGTCCATCTCCAGATTATTTGGTGGTTTTCAAATGGACCATGGAGGTTTGTTGCACCAGATTATGGTCTGAACCTACGTCTTCTTCTCATGTCGAGTAGCACTGTATGGTTGTAACCTACGTTCATTTTGAGTTTAATCTCTCTGACATTATTCTGGAGGAGAATGGTTCCCATTACATAAAAGTCTTCAATGTGCTGTTGGCGAAATCATGATAGCGACTTACTCAGTGTGTTGGTGGTTGTCGTTTAGGTGAGCGGAGTAGATTATCGAGTCTCCAGTTAACAGTCAGGGGAGTCCACTTCCATCCCACCTGCTCTCACAGATTCCAAGTACTTCAATATCATATTCATAGCAGTTGAAAGTGTACAAGCCTAGAGAGTTAAGGTGACAACGTGTATATGATCCTCAAAAATGCTCTCACTGAAGCCTTAAAGAGAATCCGTTTGAACCAAAGCATTCTTATAAAGAGACTGGATAAACGGCTTGGTCGTATTATTAGATAGAGTTAACTACGTCGATAAGATGAACAGCATAGTAAAGGACAATGTGAAATTGCGAAAATTACACATCGACAAAGAAGACAGTAAATAGAAAGGGAGTTTACGGATATACTGAAGACTAGTATCCAACCTTGTAATCTCACCTCAAATTTTCGAATTTCTTCAGCTTGTAGAAAGAAATATACCTAGAATGAGTGAGCTACCTAAATTTCACAAGCCAGACTTGTCAATGCGTTCACATGTGTGCATGTACATGTGTAACTCACCGTATCATAGAGTGGGAAGATGATTGTCTCATATACTTAAACAACAACAATATATATGTATATATATATAAGCTTATCTTTGCAACGAGATATAGCTAGTGAATTATTGGCATCGAAACTAAGAGATATAACAGCCCAAACAATCTTCTCAGCAACACTGTGTTTAAAATCACCCCTTGCGACCTTTGATAATTCCAATCCAGGTGGAGGATGAGCCACCGAATACTTCGACTTCATTGTGCCTCTATAAATTTAACTATGCCTGTGAAGACAGTTGTAAAGGTCGAATAACTCGACAAACATACCGTCACCCTTTGAGCATTGTCAAGCATGGTTAGGCGAAAGAATCGTGATGTCAATCAGGAGCTCGATACTAGCACACTTAGTGAATACGGAGTACAGGATTGATAGAAATTGAACCTTTACAATTCTATACAAGGTTTCCTCTTAGTTCTTTAGGCTTGTACGTCTTCGATGGCTAAGCATAACTCAGGCAGTTGCTTTCAAATTTTTCAGCACGATACACATGTTACTGTAATTTATGAGTCGGTTTTGGATACTGAATTATCAGATGAGAAATGACAAGGATTTCTACGATAGTGGCTTGGTTTATTCTGGGTCGTGTGCACTGATATAT